TAGAATGTCCCATGGAACCTCCTCTTGTGTGTCCCCTATATAAGAATAAAGAATTCCAGAGGCTCTCTCTCTTTCCACAGACTCCTAAGTTCAGAGAGATGTCCCTGGATATGTGAAAAGGTACTTCTGTGTGTTGTGTGCTGTCTTTGACGTTTTCTTAAGTTATTGGAAGAGTCAGATTTTGTGAGCCCAGCTGTGTCACCAGCTAGGATAGATGGCGATAGTCAGATTTATTCGTAGCAGACTACAATCCATTCTGGGGTCTCCTGACCTCCCGAAGTGATATTTTGAGATTGTATACATTAAAATTCACTCCTGGTGGCTGTAAACTTCTGTTGTGATAAAGGCACTATGACAGGTTCCCACCATGACATTTTCATACAGAACAGTTTCACTGCCTTGAAAGTCCCCTGGGTTTCAGCGACTCCTCCTTCCTTTCCCCCACCCCACRGGCAACTACTGATCTTACTGCTTATACTTCTGCCCTTTCCAGAATGTCATGGAATTGGGATCGTATGATCTTTTCAAATGGGCTTCTTTCATTAGCAACAAGCGTGTAGGTTTCGCCCCTGTCTTCTTCATGGCTGGTTGCTCTTCCCATTGCCGAATCCTATTGGGTGGATAGACCCTAATTTGCTAATTCGCCTGTTGGAGGTAGCTTGGTTGTTTCCAGTGGCTATAAATGAAACTGCTAGAAACATTCAAGTGTAGGTCTTTGTGTGAGCCTAGCTTGTAAATCTAGTTGTGTTGATTATAGGAACATAATTTAGGATCAGTGATAAGGCCGTTTAGCTTTGCAGACCCGGAAYGTCTTCGGGAGTGCCTGCCTTGTTCTGTGCTCGCCCAGACACCACAGGGGCTTTTCTTGCTTCACCTTCTCACCAGCATTTAGCAGTTTGGATTTTAGCCTTTTAAAATTTATTATTATTATTATTATTTTTTGCGGTGCTGGGGATTGAACCCAGGGCTTTGTGTGTGTGCCTGTAAGGCAAGCACTCGGCCAACTGAGCTGTCTCCCCAGCCCTGGATTTTAGCCATTTTGATAGGTGTGCCGCTATCACTTGAATGGTGAGTGTCCCCATGTGCCCACGAGTTAGAGGCTTGGCCCCCAGGGGCCCTCTCAGGAGGTGGTGGATTTAAGAGGTGAGGCCTACGGGGATCTGAGGTCACTGTGGGGGGCACGCCCTTGAAGGGGACAATGGAACCCTTCATCTTTCTCTCTCTTCCACCTGGCCACAGAGCTCCCCGGCTTCCTCCACCACACTCTTGCCATGGCGTTCTGTGCCCATCAGTCAATGAACTGGAGCCTCCCAAACTGTGAGCCAAAGGAAACGTTTCTTCTTCTTCTAAGTTGATTGTCTCAGGCACTGGTGACAGTGGTGCAGAGCTAGCTAACACATCTGTCCTCTCACTTCTGAATCCTGGCTTAGGTTATCCTTTCAAGTCTGGTACTTTTTTTTTCATGTTTATTAGTTCTTTTTGAAACAGTGCGTTACATTTTCTAAAGCTGTTCTGGGACACATTTTTCTTGTGTGTTTTCATCGTCCCCAGGAGAACCGTTACCCCATTTCAGCTCTGAGGAGTAATTAAGTCAGCTGATGTGGCTGCRGCCTAGGTCCCCAGGCCAGCTGGGGGGCAGGAAGTGGCCTGGGTGCTCACCACAAGGCAGGCCAGGACCTCCCAAGGGCAGAACTCCTTCCCTCTGTGGTCCTTGGGAGGGACTGAGGCCATGCCCGGCTCAGCCTGGCGGGGACTGGTGGCCCCCAAGTCTGTGCCTCCACCACTGCTCAGTGACCTGCATGTACCTCCCGCTCCACACGCACAGAGCTGGCGTCCCCTGCTTCCTCTTAAGCCTGCAGCTATGTCCAGCCTCAGCTGAGGCCAGGCCCTTCACCACAGCATCATGTTGGGAACTGCAGTTCCTAGGACCTGTCCTCTCCCACCCGCCTTCCAGTCACCCAMCACGTTCTGCTGCTTTTACATCCAGCTTTTCCCAACAGTAGCTCTTCCTCTCAGACCTCCCCTCCTGCCATCTGGGTTGTCACAGTGGGACAGCAGAACCTCCCCCTCCAGCTGGCCCATGCAATCCGGTTCCACATGGGTGGAGAATCTCCAGTTTTGCCTCATCTCCATTCACATTCAAGCCATCTTGCAAAGGTCTCTTCCCCTAACAGAAGCTTCTTATCCATTTTTTTCTATGAGCTTTTCCCTTGTCTTCCCTCTTCCTTGTCCAGAACTGTCAAGAGGCTGAGGTTTGACCCCACTTCAGGCTGCCACGGCCTGTCACAGGTTGGCAGGAGCCGGCACACACGAGACTCCTGGGTCAGAGACAARGGACTTATTCACAGCAGGGCAGGTGGCAAGGACTTCATGTTTGCTGCCACTTCTCTTCTGTCATGTGCCCCGAGTGTGCTGCCGAGCTGGGCCCAGGGGAATGCCGAGCACACAGTGGATACACAGCACCCTCGGAAACTCACTTAGGAAGATCCACCTTTTCAAGAAAATGACTAGCAAACTTGACAGACGTTTGCCCTGGAGGGAAACGATATCCTCCAAGGTGAGAGAATGGGGAGAAAAAAAAATCTACCCTTTTCCAAAAGGAAGAAATGGTCTGTCTCTTCCAAGGTTACTCAAACGTTCTTTAAAAAGGGAGTCTGGGGGATGGAGTTGTAGTCCAGTGGAGAGCGCTTGCCTGGAACATGTGAGGCACTGGATTTGATCCTTGGTACCACATTAAAAAATAAATAAATAAAATAAAGCTATTGTGTCCATTTGTAACTAAAAAGAGAGGGAGAGAGAGAGAGAGAGAGAGAGAGTCTGGCTGGGCCTGGAGATTCATACTTGTAATCCCCAGTGGCTCTGGAGGCTGAGGCAGGAGGATCACAAGTTCAAAGCCAGCCTCAGCAACTTGACAAGGCCCTAAGCAACTTAGAAAGACCCTGTCTCAAAATTGAAAAATAAAGAAAAGGGCTGGGATGTGGCTCAGTGGTTAAGTGCCCCTGGGTTCAATCCCTGATACCAAAAACAAAAATGAGGGGTGGGGGAGGGAGGGAGGGAGGGAGGGAGAGAGAGAGAGAGAGAGAGAGAGAGAGAGAGAGAGAGAGAGAGAGAGAAGCCATCAAGGACTCTGCCCCAGGACGCAGAAATGCAAGAGCTTCACGGAGAGTGGGCTCCCAGCGGCCTCACGGGACTGAGAGGCCCTTCTGTCCCTGGCCAGGTCCTTGTCCTTCAAGCACAGCTCAGGCACCCCTGGCTCCAGGAAGCTCTCTGTACCTTCATGCTGCAGGCCCCCATAGCATGCTGTGCCTACCGCTGTCCCCACCCAGGTCACTTTAAACTGAAAATATCCCCAAGGCTTAGCCACCTCCAGAGTGTGTGCCCCTTGCTCACAGGAGACATATACTTCCTGAGTAGATTTTGGCGAGCTGTCCCCTCCCCGGGCTGACCCAGGCCGGCCCCGACAGGTGTAGCACACATTTCCCACACGTCCTCCCAGCTGTGCGACTTTGGCAGTGAACAACCCTGTGACTGATGGTGCTAGCCCCGTGTCTATTTACTCTTATAAAAAGACTGGGGGTGTCTCCTGCCTGCCCCCACCCAGGAAACGGGGTGATCCCAGCACCAAGCCTGGGAAATCGGGGTGTAATAAGAATGGGGGCACCGAGGCACAGAGCTGCTAAGGTACCTGCTGCGTCCCCACTGCCAGCCTGGAGCTCAGGTCTCCTGCTCCCAGGCCCCGCCCACCGTGGGACGCTGAGTAGGTTTGTGGCATGGAAGCCAGACGCCTAGCTCCCTGTGGCCGGCTGCGGCTGCGTGCGTGGGCTGCAGAGGCACTTCCTGAAGCTTCCTCAGGACTCAACATTTTCCAGCAAATAGTGTGGCAACAGGGACAAGGGGAAGCCACCGCTGAGTTGGCACTTTTCTCCCCCAAGCGCTGCCCCATGGGCTGGGTTCCGGCCATTGAGTGCACACAGCAAGGGCATCAGGGAACCGGTGTCAGCTCTCCAGACTGGCCTGGGGCTGCCCCGTGGGAGGGCAGGCTCCTGTGTACGGAGTCCTCACTGCACCTAGAGGACCCTCCCGGGGCTTCTGCTCCTCTTGGCCTGGCCCCAGCAAGCAGCAGATTCCACACACTCCATCAAGGTGTGGTGGGGCTACCTGGTCCAGGCATCTTTGGGGCCAGGTTAGAGTCCAGGTTCTGTGATGGAGGGACTCCAGCCAGGCCAAGCTGAGGACAGGAGCCTCAGGAGCCACTGTCCCCACCCTGGACACCCAGCTCAGAGCCCACTGTTTGGCCCCAGGCCGTGGTGCTTTGTTCTTTCACCCCAGGCCACCTGGACGTTCCCTTTCTCTGTGGTCTCCTCCATGAATTCCTCCCCCTGGGGCGGCTGCGTGGAGAACGTAAAATAATGCAGGGGAGTCACAAGCGGGTGCCAGGCACCCAGAGCTCGGCTGGATCCCTGGATCCGTCACACCTCCCTGAGGCTCCCGATGACCAAAGCTCTGGGTGACTGTCCCTCCTGCTCTCTGGGACTCATGGCCTCAGGGTAAAGAGACCTGAGGGCAGACCTGGTGCCCAATTCACCCCCTGAACTCCACCTACTGCTCGCTAGAATGGCAGCCTCTGACCCCCCCCAGCTGGTTCAGGCCCGGTGGCAGGTGGTGGGCACTGTGCCTCCCAGCTGGGCATGAAGCCGCAGAGCCCAGCCTGGCCTGAGTCCAGGGGCGGTGCTGGGAGCCGAGGATGAGGACAGTGTCAGCACCTGGCAGGGGGCCGGGGGACAGGCAATCGGGGATGGAGCCTTGGTGTCTGGTACACTGACCTCCAGGCAGGGCTCATGCTGGGGCACCCCCTGCCTCGAGGACTCACTGAGATGGTTGGCGCCTGGGTTCAATAAGGCTAAGCCTAGGCTGCTGTTCCCTGATGCCCCCATTCACACTGGGGTCCCCAGGAGCTCTGCTTCCTCTGCTGTTCCCAGGACCTCGAAGAGTGCCGACGTTAAGCAGGTCCCCAGTGAACACCCATCTTTAATCAGTGCCAAGGACAGACAGGGACAGTACAGATCCGCTGGAGGAAGAGGAGGATGACAGACAGCTGCCAGTGGATGGGCAGACTGTCACAGGACTGTCCAGGGCTGCGGACCAGGGTAGGCACTGTCTGGCTCAACCGGGTGTCAAGAAAGGCCTCCTGTGGAGAAGGGCTTTGAAGGCTCTAGAGGAGCTGATCAGGTGAAGACGCAGGGAATGGTGTTGGGGGGGGGGCATCAGCAGCAGGGGGGCGAGAGATGGTTCTGGAAGTCATCTAGAGCTGGGATGGAAAGAACCAAGGGTGCTGGGGGTGTAGAAGATGACCAGGCTGAGGGTCAGACGGGGCCAGGGCCCCGAGGGCTGCAGGCTCTGAGAACACTGCAGGTTCTGGCAGAGGGCAGGGGCCGTCTGAGCCCCAACTGGGAGAGTCAGGCCGTGGCCTGGGATGGCCACAGAGCTCCAGCTTCTCCAGAGAAGGAAATGCCGCTTTCACAAGTTTTATTAAACTCCCCCCAGTGCCTCTTTCAACAATTGCCACAGCCCTGGGTGTCCACCAGGGAACGCCCTGTCAGTTTTCCCCTGGTGGAGGTGGGGCTTGTCCATGTATCCGTGGCCTGGCTTGGTGGCCCTGGTGTCGGGCTGCCTCTGGAGGGGTGCAGGTGCTGTAGGGGGCTGTGGGCACTGGGGGTTGTGGGCAGGCTCTCTGGCAGGGGCAGGGGGCCTGTCCCTTCAACACACACCCTGAGAGATGCTCCTGAGATGCTGCGTGTTTCCGGAACTTCCCAGCTCCATCCTGAGTAGCAGAGGAGCAACGGGGGGGCCAGGCGCTCCCTCTTCAGTCAGCCCTGGAAAATGAGCCCTAGAAACAGCAAGGAGGGGGAGGGCCGCAGGAGGCCCTGTGCATGAGCAGGGGTGGCTTAGTAGCTGCAGCTGGCTGGAGAACCTCTTCCCTCTCTGAGCCTCAGTTTCCCTTTCTGTCTGATGAAGAACATGGCCTCTCAGTGCTATGACTCCACCTCAGGAAGTGCCCTTGGCCACTGCTTCATGTCATCCTCACAATTATTTTGTGCCCTTGGGTTACCATGTTCAGTGGGTGGTACGCATGTGCACAGGCGGGCACCCRCCGGGAGTCTCCGTGTGTGCTCAGACGTGGGGGCACGTTTCTGGATGAGTGGGTGCAGCTGAGTGTGGTGGGGTGAGTGAGTGAGGCCCCAGTCCCTGTTCTCCTGTCCCACCAGTCTCAGGACATACTGCCATGGCAGGGACCCTGGTAGCCCGGGCCTCACAGGAAGTTGGGCTCCCGCACCACCAGGAAGGGCGGGTTCCCGCTGTCCCCACCACCATCCAGGGGCCGGTACACGAAGTGGAAGTCGCGCTTGGGCTCACTTCGCAGCAGATAGCCCTTGATGCGATGTGGCAGTGCCTCGTCGGCCAGCTGGAAGCAGCGCCCATCCACCAGCACGAAGAGCCGGTGCTCCTGGGGCTGGGTCACCTCGAACTTTTCAGCGCACTGCGCACACAGTGCCTGGGCCATCGTGTCTGCCCGTGAYGCCAGAGTCCGCGACTGCTGCTCGGGCTCCAGATAGGACACACAGATGAAGTCCTGCGGAGCGAGACAGAGGGCACGCCAGTCACCTGCAGGGCCAAGTGGGCATCTCTTTGGCCCCCACCMTGGTGCTGGGAATTGGGGCCAGCAGTGAGGAGCTAGACGACTGTGGACCTATCATTGCCTTCTCTGGTCCCCAGGCTCGCAGGAGCAGTTGTGAAGCTGGGGGTTGGGCACCTGCAGCCCTCCCTTACCCTGCGACTGAGCCTGCTGGGTGACCCTTTGCTCTCKGTCACTGGGCTGACTATTCTGGATCATTGAGTCATTTTTGAGTCCTGGCATTGAGGAGCCAGTGCGCCCCCTGGTGGCCAGTCTAGAGGCTCGCCCTCCTTCCTCCATCCACTCATCATTCTGTGGCTTATCTTTTCCAGAGTTTCCCTGTGCCCAGGAACAATGCTGGAGATCAGCGTAAATAAAACTATGGGTGCAGACCTTACTCCCAACATCCTACAACTCAGACAGGCGGAACAGTTCAGGTCCTTAAGGCTGGAATTGCCTCTGGGGCTCAGAAGCCAGGTGGGAACAGGAGGGTGGAGGAGGGAGGGGAGCTGGGGGAAGAACACAGGGGTTAGGACATGTGGAAAGGACATTGTGTGAGCAACGTTTCCAAGTACCTGGCCAGCACACTCACCACCYTCCACCAGCCCCAGAAAGAGGACAGTGTGGCCCCTGAGTCCCATGCCTGGTTCTGAATCTTCTCCCATTTACTGAGTAACCTTGACCTACTTAAGCCTGTTTCCTCAACTGTCCACTGAGTACATCAGTCATGACAGGGCTGGGAGAACTACACCAAGTCAGCCTCTCCTTCACCCAGGACCAAGCAGGTGTGCAGCGTGTGTGAGGCCGTGACTGCCCTCTGCTGGACAAAGTGGTAACAGCAGGGCAGATGGCTCCACAGCAGCCAGGCCATGGAGATGACAATGACCACCACAGTAGTGAGTGCTTATGAGGCCCCTGGCTGGGTCAAGGGCTTCACTGCTGCTGCCACGCCCCCTCTCTTGGTGTCACAAGGCTGTCCTTGTTAGGCCTCCTAAGGGCCCTTGCCTCCTACTGTTGACCTTGGAGCTCTGGGTGTTCATCCCCCAGGGAAAGGATTTAAGRAGTTGGGTGTCGACGAAGTGCTGGGACTGGGCAGAGAGTGTGCGCTGCCCAGGTTCCAGAAACTCTATTGAGGGCTCCTGGCCTCTCTCCCAAGCTTCCCTCTTCTCAGTGGTGGGGGGTCTGTCTAATCCTCTGTCTGGATCAGCATCAGGAACCCACCGGCTGCAAATAAGAAGGAAGGAAGGGCTGGGCAGGCTTGGACCAAGAGCATCCATATCCCCAAGCTGGTGGGTGTAGGCATGCCAGGAGGGCATGGGGATAGTGGTGGGCTGGAGCTCCTACCAGCTTGGGAGAGCACGCCTCTTTCCAACTCTAAGATCAGGGATACGAGCTGAAACTGGGAGTTTACACCACGGAAATTGACAGAAGCTAAATTCAGAGGTTTTTTTTCCTCCTCCTTCTTCAGAGAGAGCCATTACAAGGTGCTGTTGATTAGAGGAAGGAGTAGGGACATCAGCTTGGCAGCCTACACAGGTGCTGGGTTGGCGGAGCTCATCTGCCTCACAGTCAGCTTGTGTGAATAGAGAAACTGAGTCCCAGAGAGGCAGGGATTGCTCAGGGTCATGCAGAGAGCTAGCTCAGAGCTGGGTCCAGAACTTGAGCTTCCTGCCTCCCAGGCCTGGGCTGCATCTGTTATAGATGGGCCATCTGGAAAGCCAGGAGTGGGATTCAGGACTGGTGAGCTCTGGGAGYTGGGGTGGTGGTGTCTGCATAGCGATAGCTTGTTATAACTCTCTCCATTTTCCACACACTACTGTCTGTTCTGTCCTAGGTCCTGGGCTTGGGACCCTTAGACATGTGAACTATGGGTGCTGCCCTCCTAGAGGTAATGGCTTCATACACAGAGGGTTACAACACGGTGGGATATGCACTGTAATGTGGGTGGCAGTGGGAAGCACAGAGTCGGGGCAAGAGGGGGCATCAGGAAAGTCTCTGGCTGTTAGAGACCCTGTGTTGTCTTGAGGGCTGGCGTGACAGCTGGAGAGGGGAGGCAGCAGCCTGGGTGGAGGCTGGTCAGCCAGGAGCTGTTGGGGAGCTGTGGGTAACTGGGTTTATTGCAGCCTGGGTGTGATGGGGGAGGATGCTGCCTGAATGTTGTCTGCATAGATGGAGAGATGGAGGGGTGGGCGGCTGGTCTGTTGGGACAGAATCGGGGTAACGGGAAGCTTGGCAGCTTCTGCATTTGTCCAGGGACCCAGGGGCAAGGCTGTAGGTCAGCTTGTGTCCCCATCTCCAGCCCTAGTGGGGCTAAGTGCACAACAGGGGCTAGAGTCATCTCATCTGCTCCATCAGAACTCCCATGGCTGGTAGGACTTCTCTAGGCCCACCCCTGTCCCTGGCTGGGAGCTGGACATACCTAGCAGGCCAGGGCTGGGGTCCCTTCCCCTGGTGGAAGCCCCGCTATCCCCTGAGGGYAGGGCTGGCCAGACGGAGCAGGCAGTCGCTGTCACAGCCCTTGAGCCAGCTGGGCAGTGAGACTGGCGTCTGGGCAGGGTCCTCCTACCCGCTCCCATCACTCGCCCAGGCTCACCTGCACCGAGGAGCGCGAGGCCCGGGCCTTGTTGAGCGTGCGCCTCCGCTCCCAGCGGTGGATGGAGTCCTGCACCTCCACACTCAGCTGCCGGGTCACCGTGATCTTGTCGTAGTTCTTGATGTGCTCCAGGGCCCCGTAGGTGGTGGTCAGATAGTAGGAGCCTGCGGGGTCGAGGGTGCGGAGGTTGAGCTAGGACCCAAGGAAGAGGGCGCCTGCAGCCCGGTCCCCAGCCTCCAAGGCTGAGCTCCTGGCCACGCCCACCGCGCAGCCGGGCAAGGGCCCAAAGCCCAGCTCTGCTCAAAGCCGGTCATCCGTCATGGTTTTCCCTTCAGAATGAAAACGCTGGCTTATTTTTAAAGCGGTATATTACAATGTAAAGGATGCGCAAGAGACAGAAACGTGGATGCCTTTAAAGTGGGCTGGGARCTTCTCCTGGATCACACACCTTCTGAGCCAGGGGCTGTCTTATTATACCAAAAATAGCTTTAAAAGATGTGGGGGACACTTTAATTATTCTGTGCAGTTTTTAATGGTTTAAAATTAGTAAGCATTTTGAATGAGCCAGTTGCCCATTTCTTCTCACCTTCTTAAGTCACTTCACGTGCATTCTTAATCCCTGACGTTTCCTGAAGTAATGGAAGCTTCCAGATACTTCAGACCTCAGAATTTACATACGGTTTTAAGATAAAAGACAATATMGTGCATGGATGCTTGGTTCATGGTCCTTAGCTTATTAGGGGCTTTTGGCTAAAAAAAATCTGAGAAATATTAACCTTGTTGAGCCCCAGAGTGTGTGTGTGGGGGTGACTTGGCCAAGGCCACGCAGTGGTCAGGGCCCTCCCTGGAGGGGAAGGAGTTCTCAGAACTCTCCRGATCTTCAGTGCTGTCACTTCCAGGAGCTGGCTTCCCTGCCCTTCATCAGACCTCTCTCCCTGGCCCCTTTTAGTGCCAAGACAGTGATTTTTGATTGTGCCAATGACCCAAATCCCATCTTCCCTAACGAACTGAGTCCCACTGTTATTTGGGGAATTATCACTGGAATGAAAATATTCATTTCCCGACTCCCAGGGTGGCACGGGCAGGAGCCCTGTTCTGGCTCCTTGGATGTGAGTGAGGCTTCCAGGAAGGCCTTTGAAAGGGACAGACTTCATTTGACAGATCCCTTTGGGTTTTTGCCTATCCCCATTCCTCCTTCCTGGAATACAGAGATGAGCCTGGAGGCCCAGCAGCTGTCTTGTGATCAGAGGTGGTAGGCACAAAGACAAAGGCCCACTTGCTAAGGAGAGCTGAAAAGAGCTGGCCCAGATTCCACCCTCATCAGCTGCGGAGCCTGCACTTCTTGATCAAGGTCACAGACCAATCCCTCGCCCTGATTAAGCCATTATGAGTTACACTCCCAACGGCCACGCTGGATGGAGGAGTCCCACAACCAGTGGGGGCCAGGTCCACCCCTGGGCCAGGGAGGGTGGGGGCGCTAAAGGGGTCTCTGGCCACAGGATCACCCACCCTTGGGTGACCCTGATCAGAGAAGAGCCACGAAGCCGCTCGTGTGTCTCCCTTCCTAGGTGAATGCCAAGCCTGAGTGTCCAGCATCTCTGGTGCCTCCAGCCCTTGCTGCCCTGAGTCCATGTCCCTAGGTAGCAGCCCTGCTTCCCTGCTTCCCTTGGGGACACTCTGTCCAGTCCGGGAGTCAGGAAACAGGGCGTGCAGCAGCCGCCCTGTGGTCTTGGGCGAGCTCTCTCTGCCTTGGTTTCTCCTCTGCAAATCCCATAACATTGTGAAGAGTCAATGAGAGGAGCCAGGTCAGGCACAGATTTAGTGAYCTGTGGGCAATGCATGTGGCTCCATGACCTCAGAGTGTTCAGAGGCTCCTTGCCCTTTAGGGGTCGGGGAGGAACTCCAAGCCCCTCCAGGCGGCCTGCTGGAGCGCTCCCTTCCCTGGGSGGCGAGCCATGCAGTACCTGCTGCGACCACTAGGTGGTGGCTGACACCAATGTGAGGTYTGGGGACTCTGGGATGTGCTATCTCTTGGTTGGAAAAACTCAGGGTGGAGAGGGGACCTGAGCAAAGGAGTCCCTGAGGGCATTTGTGGAAAGGCTTGAATTCTGGACAGGCTCCAGCCTGGGCCTCCTGTCAGTCAGAGTGGTGGGAGCACTGGGGGGGTCCCACCATCCCTCCCTCATGCTTCCAGGAAGCCTCTAATCTCTTCTGCCCCGAAGGCCTACTGCAGGTGGTGGCTGGCCTTTGCTAAATAAATTCCATCACCTGGAACAGGCCTGGAGGAACCTCCAGAGCACACGGGTCKGCTGGCAGGCTCTCTGTGGGACGGACGCAGACCGTTTGCAGGACGGCGGAGCCGGCTCTGCCCTCAGCCTGCCTTGGGCCTCTGGTCTGGATTGGCAATGCCCATGTGGTCACCCAGCTGTCGTGGGTGGCATTAGGAGGTGGGGCCTTTCAGAGGTGACTAGGTCACCAGGGGGAGTCCTCCTGAATCAGATTAGTGCCCTTCTAAAAGAGGCCCTGAGAGCTGCCCTGTCCCTTTCCCCATGTGAGGACACAGCAAGGAGGGCCACCTAGGAGGAAGGGCCCTCACCAGACACGGAATCTGCCCGTCCCTTGATCTTGGACGGCAGCCTCCAGAACTGTCGGAAGCCATCTCTGTGGTTCACAGGTTGCCCAGTTAGTGGCTTTGGTCATGGCAGCCCAAAGCCACGGACGCTCAGGTACCCCAGAGAATGCCGCAGCACCCAGTCTGGCCAACACCTTCACTGTGCCGGCCAGAGGGCTGAGGTGACCTGCCCAGGTTGTCCTGCAGTCCCAGGCAGAACGGCTCTTTGGACGCCACCCTCTTAGTTCTTTTGGGTTCAAGCCACTTAATTCCGGGCCTGGCCCCTGGAGGGCCTGCCCCTGCCCAAGCGTCTCTGACCTCCGTGGAGCAAGCAGCACTGGAACCTGCGCCAGTGGGGGCTCGGTCTGTCCCCTCTCCTCACCCTCTTCTAGTGCTCACAGGTGGGACCCGTCTTCTCTCCTGCTTCTCGGGGCTGAGGTGATGGGGGTCCTGGGCACACCCCCAGCCGAGATGGGGGCTAGGCAGGGGGACTCAGAAGTGCCTCCCGCCTCACACTGCCCTCGTGTCCTTGCGCCCAGACACGTCCAGATGGAGGTTGAGGCTGTTGAATGAGGGAAGGCCCTGCCCACGCTGGAGACCCCAAAGCCATCTTGGTACCAGASACCAACAGCTGTGAGGCTGGGCCTGTCCTAGGTGATGTGACTTCCCACACCCTGTTTTTTGGAATGGGGCAAAGGGAGGGTCAGGGAGGCGCCCCKGCCACCACAGATCCTCCAGGTGCTCGTGAACTCTGTCCTCTGGCCCTTGGAGCTGCCATGGTGGGTCTGCTACTGCTGTGGGTGATGAGGGTTGCTAGGAGGGAGGGGCCGTGCCATGGCTGCACCGTCATCTTGGCAGACACCTTGCAGGTGCCCTGGAGACCTGCCTGCAGGGCCTGAGGTGGGCAGAGACTCTGACTACCCAGGTCTGGCAAAGGCAGGCTGCAGGTCCTCAGGAGCCTCAGGTCAGAACCTGTGGACGGTTTCAGACCTTCATGGAGGATGCGGACTCTACTGGGTCTCAGAAGTGCCCAAAGTGCTCAGAACAGACCAGACCTCCTGCCTGAGCTGCCTCGTGCTCCCCACCAACCCGCTGGGCTCCTGGGAACAGGGACCAAGAGCCCTGGAGGCCCCAGCAGGACTGGGGAGGGAGATGCAGGTCCACAGCGAGGGCTGCTAGCCAGGAGGAGGGCTTCCTGCTGTCCCTGCTCAGCATGGTGCCTGGCCTGGGGCCCTGTTTGGCCACAAGGATTCAGGATGAGGACAGAGCAGGAGTCATGGGGCCACCACTGCCAAAGAGCCAGCCACCCAGACATCTGCCCAGAGCCCCAGGGCCCCCTCCACATTTCCACCCTGCCGTGACCTCCAGGGACATTGAGTCCCACCCCCGCAGGGTCGCAGGGTCTGGGCCCTTCCTTTGGCAGGACTTTATGATTTCTCCTGAGGCGGTCAGCAGCACGTGGCTGCTGTGGGAGATTTAGAGAATGGAAAAAATGTGAAGAGGAGCTGCCACGGGCTCTGCACTCAGGGCTTTCCTTGGTCACCGTGTCCCTCCCCCCAGCCCCTCTGTCCCCCAGCCACTCCATCAGCCTCTCCTCAGYATTTGTCACGTGGGATTGGGTGTGAAGTCATCTTGTTTGCTCATTGGTTTAACCTGCTTGAGGTTTGATTCCTCCCCTGGAAGGAAACTCTGAGAAACCCCACACAGAGGCAGAAGCCTGGCACCACCTGCTGAGTGAATGAGTCACTGGCCCCAGCCCGGGGACCTTAGTAAGAGTCTTAGCACTTTTCTTGTTGATGTATAAGAGTCTTTTACATATGGAGGCTGTTAAGTCTTGGTTTACTGATTTGTAGGGACACTTTCTCCTGGTTTATTGTTATCTTCTACTTAGGGTCATTTTTGACATGTAAGAGTTTTGACCTCTAGGGGTTACATGTAGGGCAGCCCCAWGACCATGGAAAAGGTTCCTGCTGAGAGCCCCAGGCAGGCTGCTGTTCCTCATAGGGGTAAATCCTAGGAATGGAGTGCTCCGGGTTTGAGGAAGAATGCCGGCTGGGCTCACGGTCCCTGACCCTTCTGCCTCCCCCACCCTGCCATTCTTTCCCTCAAGTTGTGGGGCCTGTGGGGACAGGTCAGTGTTGCCTGGAGCCCCCTCCCATCTCCTCAGCCTGTAGTGCTTCCGTGTGCTTGCTTGGGGGTGCTGCACCCTAAGAGGATGACCTGAGGAGGCGGAGGTCCCCAGGTGTAGGATGAATGAAGTGTTCACTCATTCTGTGAGCCTATCAGCCTGTCCTGCCCAGCACTGAAGTCCAGCCTGGCATGGGACTGGATGGGCAAATGACTGTGTGAATGGATGAGCTGATGGATGGATGGGTGATTGGATGGGTAGATGGACGGATGGGAGGATGGAATGGATGAGTTGATGGATGGATAAGTTGATGGATGGATAGATGGGTGGGTGATTGGATGGGTAGGTGAATGGATTGGAAGATGGATGAGTTGATGGATGGATAAGTTGATGGATGGATAGGTGGGTGATTGGATGGGTAGGTGAATGGATTGGAAGATGGATGAGTTGATGGATGGATAAGCTGATAGATGGGTGAATGGATGGATGAGTGATTGGATGGGTAGATAAATGGATGGGTAGATGGATGGACAGATGGATGGATGGATGGATGGATGGATGGATGAATGATTGGATGGGT